TCCGGTGTTGTTTGTAAAAATTGAAAGTTTCAAAGTTCATTAGGCTTGAATCTATGTGTGATTCGTATTTTTAGTGTTGTTGGATGTGATTTGAAGACTCGACTAAGTCTGTATGATATTTTAGGACTTGTTAGTATATTTGGTTGAGGTCCCGAGGGGCTCGGGCGTATAAAAAGGGGATTGTAATTTGTATATAATAGGAAGAAGTTTGATGGTTATGGAGAAGACAATTGGGTTTCTCTTTTGTAATTTGGTGAAGTCGTTTTTTGCAATTTTGTTTTAGCTTGTCTCTTTTGAATTTTTTTTTTTTGAATTCACCAGCTCTTTGGACTTTTGACCGAATTGTTCTGTTTGTGTAATTGAAAAAAACTTATTTGACTGAAATAGTTTTATATTTTACATTGCTTTGGTCTGAAGATATATTTTTTATTACTGTAAATGAGATTTCTAAAATCAAAAATCACTTGAAATACTTGACATAGGTTTGGAATGCGACTAGTGGGATTTTTATTTCACTGACTAGCTATTATAATTAGTTTTTGGCTTCAACTTGCATAATAAATTTGTGGGCTAGAAATTGTCAAATGTTTTAGCCGAGCGGCTAAAAGTGAAATTGCCTCTTTATTTTTTTCACGTAAGAGATCTAAAAAAATTATTTTTTAAAATTTAAAATTATAAAGGGGCATGATGTACAAATAACACACTAACAACTTCATGCCCCTTCACAATTTTAAAATTAATAAAAATGACATTTTTAGATCTCTTACGTGTAAAAGACATGTTTCCTACGAATAAAAGTAAATCTCTCATATTTAAAAAAAAATAGATCACAAAACTAAAAATAAATTTGTAAAAAGTCACAAAATTAATTGACCCATTTGTAACTTTATTTGTCGAACAAAAATATATAATATTCTACTATCGTATAAGTGAGAGTTAGCAGGCTCCTCTCCGTCAACATGCCTACTTGCTACCGAGGGTATTCTTGGAAATACAGTATTTATGTGCTTAAAGGTGTTGTACATGATAGTTTCACGTGAGAATTATTGTCTTCTTGGACAAAAAACTTGGATAACTTTTCCTGAACATGTAGGCCCCACTTCATTGCCATGCCTCCGTTTGCTGCATCTTGAAACTTCCGTTTTGTGGCCACGTAGGCCCTACATATTTTCAGTTGCTCTCCATTTATTTTATTGGATTGATCGAGATTTGCTATTGATCCGCTGTCCGGAGACTCAAGATAGATCTGTCGATGTTCACAAGTCCCCGTCTATCTTTTATGTCCTACTGTTTTCTTTCATTCAGACAACTGTATTTCTTTCAGACTATTACTTGTAGTAAATTCTAGAATGCTCGTGAATTGTGACTCCAGATCCGGGTGGTAGTAATTAATACAGTTTTATAATATTCCGTACGTATTATATTTCATCTTAGTTAATTATTATCATTTATTGAATGAAAATAAGGAATTGGTTTAACGATTTTCTAACGTTGGCTTGCCTAGCAAGTGAAATGTTAGGCGCCATCACAGTTCCGTCGGTGGGAAATTTTGGGTCATGACATTAATTGTGCCTTTTTATTTTTTGATGTTACTCCTATATACGGTACGCGTAATATTTTGTATCTCCATTAGTAGACTTGTCATAGTAAAATATGCTTTGTCTTCTTTTTCTTCTTGCCAGCGACGTCTTACGTGGCTTTGAAGTATTTTCCTTCTTTTCCTTATTTGTGCTTCATTATTTCCATGCATATATGATATGAAATTAATATTAATAATAAAGAAACTATTTCTCCAATGAATTGCTTGCTTGTGAAGCTCTAAATGAAAATATCGTTATATTGTGCTTCAAATTCTATCTATGTTGGTATATTAGTGATTAGTTAGAAATTACTCCTAATTTAATTAATTAAATAAAGAAGATGCCACTACTGATGGTTAAAGTAACTAAGACACAGTATAATATGTCCTTCTGTCCCATTTTGTGATAATGGTGTTTGACTGTGTACAAATTTTAAGGAAAAAAACTTTTAAAATTTGTAGTCTAAAATATACTATAGGTATTTATGTGCCTATAAAATCATTGCTTTGTAAATTGTCTCATACATCATCTTCATGATATTTAGCTCAAATACAAACAATATTGATTATAAATATGCAACTTGCATCAAATAGGCAGCAAAATCTTAACATAGAGAGACCTGATCTATGGTACTTCCCAGTAACGGGAGCTAAAGCCTCCATATGGAGTTTTAAAAAGAAAAAGATTTTTTTATAGAATTTGTAGTCTAAATTATACCACAAATATTCGTGTGCTATAAAAAATGCCATTATTTTGGACAAACTGAAAAGAAAAAAAACGTATGCCACATAAAATGAGACATGAAATATTAATTGTAATAGTTGATTTCCTATTCTACTTCATAAAGTTTACGGTACTTTTCTAATCATTATCTAACTATAGCTTAAGTATAGTTATCTTCTGTTTTTTAAAGTATTTTCAGAAATTACCCTTAGCAGGGGTGGACATATTACGGGTACAAGTTTCATTGAAACCTATAACTTTCTATATATTATATAGAATATATGTAAAAAACTGTTAAAATCTCAAAAAATATTAGATCTGAACCTATAATTTTAACAACACAATGCATTCAATATTGAAAATTTTAAAAGTTGAATACGTTAAATTTAAATTCTGAATCTACTTATCAAACTACAAAAGAGCTTTTAACTCCACGTGGTACAACACTTTTGGCACGGGCTTCACGATAAATTTTCTATACTCTTTTATATGCTCAATTTGGAAACATTTAATTTTCTAATCCAGTACAAATAATAATATCTCAATTATATGATTATTTTCATAAGAGAACAATTAAAAATAATATAAAAGATCTATAAACAGAATATAGGAAATATTTGTAGAACCATTTTTTTCTATTCAAACGTAGGTTAATAGAGGAGATAATTTCCTCCTCAATATACATACACATATGACACAACTAAACAAGTAATCCATAATTAAGACGCTACTATATTCACAATAAGATGATCTCAAATTATGCATTATTTTCTCTTTTTAATTTCCCCTTCCTTACATTTAACTTATGGGAAAATTTTTGTTACCCGCCGTTTATCCTAAATGGAAGGTGGATAGGCTCTTATGCTTTGGAATATTCAGATAAAGTTACCTGCTACGTGGCATAGCCAAGGCCTCTGGACAATAATTTTCTTTTTCTTTTATATTTATACATGAAGATATTACCAATTCATTCTGGTCAGTTCATCTCTTTCCCTATAATTTCTGCTGCAATTAAACCACCAAAAAGAAACAAAAGATGCAGGGCGTTATGAATTTCTTCACGAGGCTATCTTTCTTTCTCATCCTTGTTTCTAAATTAAGCAATGGGCATTGGACAAACAATTTGAAATTGGATTTCTATCCTCCAACCTGTAACCGAATTGAGTGCCCAAATTATGACTTGATTCAATCTGGTAAAGACTATGAAATTCGTCGTTACAATTCATCCATGTGGATGTCTACTGCACCCATTGATGATATTAATCTTTATTCCGCCACCAGAACTGGTTTCCTCAGGTATCTATGGTTTTTTTTCTTCTTTTTGGTCATGAATTCCTTTCGGTTGTGTTGCATATTTGGATACGTTAGCTACTGTGCAATACCAATTAAAGCATGTCTGTTTTCTGTCCAAGATTCCTTAAGAAAACAACTAAGGGTTACTTACATTTCAATCAATTGAAATTAATCGACTATTAAAAGAAGAAGAAGAAAAAAAAAAGATAGTTATCTGTAAACGATTTGACTTATATATGCTGATAATGTAAAGTATTCAATTCAACTTTTTCAAGCACGTAACCTGCGTGGTTTTTCAAGATAGTAATCTCACTTTTTATGGATGAATACTAATCTCACTTTTTATGGATATGATTATTGAAAGCGTAAAAGTTCTTTTGCACTGTTAGTCAGTAGAATATTTTCGGGTGAGCTTGGTTTTTATACTCAAAATGTTAGTGTATCTATTCGCGAAAACATAAAAGGGGTCGTTGTGAACTTTGCCTTGGCAGGCTATTCGATTACATTCAAGGGAAGAACAGTTACCAGGAGAAAATAGAGATGACAGCTCCAGTTATCACTCAAGTAAAACCAAGTGATGGACCATTTTGTGCATCTTCATTTGTTGTGAGCTTCTATGTACCAAAGAAGAACCAACCAAATCCTCCTCCAGCTAAAGGCCTTCACGTCCAAAAATGGAGCAATACTTATGTGGCCGTCAGGCAATTCGGCGGATTTGTAGCTGATGTTGATGTTGCAAAAGAAGCTGCTGCTTTGAGTGCTAGTATTGCTGACACTAAATGGGCAGCTGCTGTTGAAAAAAGCCATGCTGCAGATAACACTACCATGTATACAGTGGCGGGATACAACTCTCCATTTGAGTTCAAGGACAGAGTTAATGAGATTTGGTTTACTTTTGATTTGGACAAAGCATCTGCCATTTGAGAGGCTCTTATTCTGGACTCTTTAACATTTCAGGAGACATGAAACTATCTTATTTTCTTGGGTTTGTATTATTAAACAGCAGTTTTGTATGACCACAACGCTACATTATATATAGCAAATAAGATAGGTTGTATAATACAATCTGATTCTGAGGATTTAGTGGTTAAGATACCTCTTTCAAGACCTTTCAAAATAATCCGATATATATGGAAAAGGGCTAGACCATATTGAGTTTATTGTATGTACGCAGTTTTACCTTCCATTTCAACTTGATCCCGTAACCTCCAGGTCACATATCAACTACTCTTAGCATTGCGCGAAGATTCCACTTCATTACAAAGAACAAAAGAACTTGTTATTCTTTTTGGTTTAGGGGAGGAGGAGGCTGCAACTATGGAGATTATTTAACGCACAAGTGTGTTAAAAACTTGGATACAGCAAGCATATTTACAACTAAGAACTAAGAGCAATGACTACTTGTTTTCTTGAACTGACAAACGATTGATGTGCTCCATTCAATAAAATATTGATTGGCAAAATAGAAGCACAACTTGTACCTAGCTAATTCGACATATAATGACTTGGAATTCCAAGAAATTAAACATTAGATGGAAAGTAAGTTTGATGAGGTCCAAATCTAGGCTCACTACCATATTTTACATTTACACCAGTACTACTATCACTATGAAAACCTTCAGAAGGAGGAACAAAGACCTGTCTTGGAACTCTAGCACCGTGCACTCGATCAAGGCGTCCGGCAGCCACACTTGAATCCAAAACAGAACCCTTCCTTTCTGAAAAGAATCTTGTATGTGGTTTACTACTCGAAAACATACTACACGCGACAGTTCTGTTAGAGGAACGGTCTGATGCGCATAAGCTGTTGATGATTGAAGAGAATGGATCAGTAGCGCTTGCATCCGCATAATCAACAGTGCTAAAAGAGTCTCTGGTACTCTCAGTTGTAAATGACGCTTCATCTGAGCTTGTAAAGAGGGACCAGTCACTTGATGTAGCATCTGAAAATTCTGCGGTCATTGACTCCGTGTAAGTTCCCACAACCGGCGGTCTATTTCTATTGGCATTCCTGACAATTCCACCGGAGGTGCAATCAATGATGTTGCCGTTCAGTTCCGGTCTGTGATTCGTATAAGGATCCACACCAACAAAATGATGCTCTGCTTTTATCTGCTCTGGCCTAGAAGTCTTTGTTGATTTTGGTGGGCAGTGCTTTAAAATCCCAGGAGCTTGTCTTCGGCTAATCCTTCTAGCTGGCCGTGGATATGATCTACAAAATTTTATACTATCTCAATAAAGGGATCTTTACATCAGAAAGATTGTGAGGTAGCTTAAATAATAGATAATGACAACAAAAGCCAGCATGCAACAACAAATATGTATTGGCCAAATTGATCTCCAGCGTTTAATTCCTACGGTGCCTTAGGTAACATCAAAGCTCTGCAGTGCTTTACCTCTTATAGAATAAGATATATGCTCCCTCCGACATCACCTGGCTCATGGATACAGGCTGGACCTGGCGTCAGGATATGCATCTTGTGAGAAGTATGACAAGATACTAAAGCAAAGACATGTAACAAGCACAAAAAGTCATGAAATCCACCATTCATGCAGCTACCTACTAGCATTGTCACGAAAGATGCATAATTTCTCAAAAAGACATTAGCAAGCATAAATGAATCTTAACATTCATCATTACTAGCATGGTTTCCCAAAGTGCACAGTCAATCACCAAATTGCTGTATATACACTAAAATTCAACTTATCCATTATGGCAGGTGAAGCAAAGTGTCAAGAAACTAGAAAGGCAACTGCCTTATCGTGCATTACAAACAGGTCGACCAGAAGACCGAATAATCTGATATCATGGATGTCCTCATCACAACACAGGTTATTCAAGAATAAACAAGCAGACATCTACTATTCCTCAAAAAACACTTAAATGCCTCTTGCTCCAATACCTTTTGATAAGTAAAAACGATTTTTGATCAGATATGTCTGAAAATAGCGGTGCCTCTTGCTTTAATACCTATATTTCTCATGGCATGGCCAGCCAAGAAACATATAACTAACCGTTGGAAATTCAATTATCGTTAACCACTGGGTCTGAATGGCATGATCCATATGAAGGAAAAAGAAACACTTCCAAGGAGAGAAAAGAATATCATCAATCACATCCTGATTCTAATTAATGTGGACGCATACAAGTTTCTCAGATATTTATTCCTGGTGTATTCCACAGCTAGCAACCTCCTACCAGTTCAATGAGACAGAATTTGCAGGCTTGCAAAATTAGTTTTGGAACCACTAAACTCTATTTTCCTACCTATCTTTCCCATCTCTTGAAACCAAGGAAAATGAAACATGGAAATCTAGTTCAAGAAACAGAAAATGTGGAAACATGAAAAAGCAAAAGTTTTACAATTTTTTCCCATATAAGCATTTCTTCTTTAATGATTGAAGAGTGAGATTAAATGGCTAACCATGNAGCCCGAAATTGTTGACATAATTCATGTCTATAAATAGCCCTTCCTTCCACCATTGCCCTCCGAAATTGTTGACATAATTCATGTCTATAAATAGCCCTTCCTTCCACCATTTATCACTTTTACGTCTTCAATCTTCAAAAATCTTTTACGTTCCTTTTCGTCTCTTCTGAGTACATTCGCTGATATGTGACTCTTTTCTGCAAAAGATTTCTTCTAAACCACCAAATCTTTGTCACCTTCTTTAAATCCAAAAATGGTGAAGACATCAAAAACTGTCCTCCAAAAAGAAAAAGCTTCTTCTTCGTAATTTGCCGCCGACAAAACACCGGTGGATCCACGGTCTGAGGAGTGCGTTCCGGCGGCGTCTGTTCTTACCTCCGATTTCAAACTCGATAAAGGTTCATCGGTTCCTGGCCGATGTGAGCCCGTATCGATATATATTTATTCGATAACTGGGGGTATATCGAGCGGTTCAATATCAGTGGTGGCCGACCACCGTCTGACACGCATTAAATACCTTGGTAAGCTAAGCCGACAGACAGCTATCACGGACGTCATGGTCGGGCTCGATGCAAACATCAGCGCATATCCAATCGAGCCATTGAAAAATTATATCGTTTCTCACTATATCTTTCCCAAGAAATGAGGGGACTATCTGTATGCGGTAGAAATAGATTTTGGCCTTCGTACGATTGATCGAGGTTGAAACATAATGGATCGAAGAAAGACTTCCTAATATCGAGATGGGTTCCAAAATGGTACGAACGAGCTTCAGATTTCAGGTATAGGTCAAACACCGAGTTCAAAGTCATTATTGAGCTCGGGTCCGAATCGAACTATGATGAGATGATTTCGAGCTTAAGGGGCAGAGGCCAACCGATACCGAGCCCGAAATTGTTGACATAATTCATGTCTATAAATAGCCCTTCCTTCCACCATTGCCCTCCGAAATTGTTGACATAATTCATGTCTATAAATAGCCCTTCCTTCCACCATTTATCACTTTTACGTCTTCAATCTTCAAAAATCTTTTACGTTCCTTTTCGTCTCTTCTGAGTACATTCGCTGATATGTGACTCTTTTCTGCAAAAGATTTCTTCTAAACCACCAAATCTTTGTCACCTTCTTTAAATCCAAAAATGGTGAAGACATCAAAAACTGTCCTCCAAAAAGAAAAAGCTTCTTCTTCGTAATTTGCCGCCGACAAAACACCGGTGGATCCACGGTCTGAGGAGTGCGTTCCGGCGGCGTCTGTTCTTACCTCCGATTTCAAACTCGATAAAGGTTCATCGGTTCCTGGCCGATGTGAGCCCGTATCGATATATATTTATTCGATAACTGGGGGTATATCGAGCGGTTCAATATCAGTGGTGGCCGACCACCGTCTGACACGCATTAAATACCTTGGTAAGCTAAGCCGACAGACAGCTATCACGGACGTCATGGTCGGGCTCGATGCAAACATCAGCGCATATCCAATCGAGCCATTGAAAAATTATATCGTTTCTCACTATATCTTTCCCAAGAAATGAGGGGACTATCTGTATGCGGTAGAAATAGATTTTGGCCTTCGTACGATTGATCGAGGTTGAAACATAATGGATCGAAGAAAGACTTCCTAATATCGAGATGGGTTCCAAAATGGTACGAACGAGCTTCAGATTTCAGGTATAGGTCAAACACCGAGTTCAAAGTCATTATTGAGCTCGGGTCCGAATCGAACTATGATGAGATGATTTCGAGCTTAAGGGGCAGAGGCCAACCGATACCGAGCCCGAAATTGTTGACATAATTCATGTCTATAAATAGCCCTTCCTTCCACCATTGCCCTCCGAAATTGTTGACATAATTCATGTCTATAAATAGCCCTTCCTTCCACCATTTATCACTTTTACGTCTTCAATCTTCAAAAATCTTTTACGTTCCTTTTCGTCTCTTCTGAGTACATTCGCTGATATGTGACTCTTTTCTGCAAAAGATTTCTTCTAAACCACCAAATCTTTGTCACCTTCTTTAAATCCAAAAATGGTGAAGACATCAAAAACTGTCCTCTAAAAAGAAAAAGCTTCTTCTTCGTAATTTGCCGCCGACAAAACACCGGTGGATCCACGGTCTGAGGAGTGCGTTCCGGCGGCGTCTCTTCTTACCTCCGATTTCAAACTCGATAAAGGTTCGTCGGTTCCTGGCCGATGTGAGCCCGTATCGATATATATTTGTTCGATAACTGGGGGGTATATCCCGTGTGCTTGGTTGTGATTTTGTGACTTGCGGGGATGGTTGGTTTGGTTTGGTTGCGGGGAGCTTTTGGAGTGAATTGCAACACTTAGTTCCATTATTAGAAGTTTAAGTTATAAGAGTTTACCAAAGTTTGACTTTTGTGTAAACGACCCCAGATTTGTATTTATATATTTTTAATAGGTTCATATGGTGATTTTAGACTTAGATGTTTGTTAGGATTTGCATTTGGAGGCTCCTTGAAAACTTTAGCTCTATTTGCCGAAAGTTGGCAATTTTAATGTTTAGAAAGCTCATAAGTTTGACACTGAGTTGACTTGGAGGTGGTAGTCTTCGAATAGTTGTTCCGGACTTGGAATAGGTCTGTTATATCATTTGGAACTTGTGTGCAAAGTTTTATTTCATAACGATTTGGTTTGGTATGAATCAAACTCTTGGTTTGTGAATATTTAGAGTTTATAAATTTGAAGGCTTGCTTGATGTATTTTGGTGTTTGATTCTTGGTTATGGATGTTATTTTGATGTTTTGAGCTTACGAGCGAGTTTGTATTTAGTTTATATACTTGTGTGAATTTTTGGTGTGGTACCCGAGGGGCTGGGGTAAGTTTTGGATTGGTTTTGGAATTTTTATGAGATGTTCGGATTTAGCAAGTGCTGCAGACATCACAATTGTAATCGTCTGCTCCCAATTGTGAAGTCTTGATCATATTTGCGATGGGTGCCCGGGAAGGCCAACTTCGCATTTGCGAAGCTGGTGTCGCAATTGCGTGATCCGCAATTTCAAACGGTGTATCGCATTTGCAACTCTCCTCGTCGCATTTGCGAGAACTGAAACTCAGGGAGCCAGTTCGCACTTGCAAGCCATTCCTCGCACTTGCGAGGATCACAATTTCGAACCTTGGTCACATTTGTGAATTCAACAGGTGACTATATTGGAGGAATTTTGGGACATAGACCCATTTGAACCCTAAACTTGGAGAGAGACCATTTTTGAAGAGGATTTTCACACAAAGATTTGGGGTAATTGATTTCTACTTAATTTTTATATTATAAGTTATTTTTTCATGGATTATTACACCTAGATTATGGGATTTGGAAGAGAAATTTGGGTGTTTTTTTACTATGTTTTGGAAAATAAAAATTAGGCATTTGGGAGTTGATTTGGAAGTCAAGAGTTGATTTGGAAAATTAGGCATTTGGAAGTCAAGAGTCGATTTGGACTCGATTTTGGAATCTAATCACATATTTGAACTCGTGGGGTTATGGGTAAACGGGATCTACTTTTTGACTTGGGTTTTGACCGTGTTTGACTTTTTAGGAATTGGGTAAAGATTGAAACTTTATTATTTGGAATTGAATCATATAGCATTGTTTGATGTTATTGAGTTATTTTTGGCTAGATTGGAGCCAGACAGAGGTAATTATTTAAGGGAAATGCTATTTTGAGGGTTGATTTGGGCTTACTGCAGTAAATATCTTACCTAAATTTGTGTAAAGGAATAACCCTTAAGATTTGGCCTTATTTGCCTAATTGTGTTATATGTAAAGCGATGTGTATACAAAGTGACGAGCGTGTACAAGGCTGCTATGTGTGATTTTGACCAAGATTAAACTTTAGGCTTCTAATATGCCTTATTTTGATGATATACGTTATATGGAACATCCTTAATCATTCTCTGACTACATGAACCTCGCTTCTTCAGTTGATTTAGTTGTAGTCATGATTTATATGTTGAACACTCACTTGCATTTTATTATTGTCATATCCTTGTGCACCTTGTTGACGAATTATGAGCATACATTTTTTGATGATAAAGTGGCATATTGCATTGTTATGTCACAGGCACATGTGGACATGTTGGCCAGATTGACTGGGTATTGGCACGAGATTTTTGTCGTGCAATTGTGATGATATTTTGGCACGAGAATTTTGTCGTGCGATTCTGATGATATTATGGTACGAGGTTTTTGTCGATGAGGTATTTGCTATGCGATTATGATTATTGTTATGCACAAAGTTATTGTCGTGCATCGTGTGGATATAGATCCATCCCCCAAGGATCGCCCTCTAATGTTTCTCTCTTGATGGCGTACACGCGAACTATGGTACCATGATTATTGTGATTGATTGTGATGTCTGAAATATAAGGGTGACGGCTCACTGTTGATGTTTTGTGGATTGTAAGGGTGGTATTTCACTGTTGATGATGTGTGGAGCATAAGGGCGACATTTCATTGTGATGTTCATAAAGGGTATAAGGGTGGCATTCCTGATCATGCACATGCATTCTTTATACTTTGTCATGCACTTAGATATGCTTTCACTTTTATTTAACATGTTATTCTATCCATCTATTATCTTTTGAAAACTGTCTATTGTCAGGATGATTTTATTACCTACGTTGAGTTGATATTTCCTATTTTTGTTGAGCTTCGCTATTGCATCTTGTTATACTCTCGTTGCCATATATTAGATATATTGCATCGGTTCTTTGATTAGTGAGTATCACATGACTTGAATATCGTCACTACTTCACTGAGGTTAATCTTGATACTTACTGAGTACATGTTATCTCGTACTAATACAGCACTTCTGCACATTTTTGTGCAGATCTGGGTGTTGGGACAACCGACCTCGAGACTGATCTTTTGACTGTTCAAGAGGATTCAAGATAATGCTTCATGGACGCTA